AGATCTTTGAGTTCAGCCAAGGGAATTATTCCTGCCCTTTCACAAAACTGGGCCAGTGCTTCCCAAACTTGCTGGAAGAATGCACTTGGACTGGGTATGTGGTTCAGTAGAGGGCTCTTAGCATTTGCAAAGCCCTGGCTTTGATCCCTAGTACTACCTCACCACGTTATTTCTGCTCAAACAAAATACCTGACACCCAACGTTAAAGGGAGAAGGGTTTATTTGGCTCACAGTTCACAGAGGTTCAGTCCCTCGCAGGCCGGCTCGAAGGCAGGGATGGCAGACAGGCATCACAGAGGAGGAGCAGCACGGTACACACAAGGTAGCAACAGCAACAAGGGACCTGGACAGTGTCCTTTTGCCCCTTTTACCTTATCCAGTGCTGAACCAGTGTCCTGATTTAGTAATCACACACCCTTAATCACGGTGCCACACAGTCTAGATTAGGGGACATCTAGACCCAAACCGTAACACCCATCCACTCCTATTTGAAAAAGGAGACTTAGAGAAACGTGCGAAGAACCACCGAAGATAAGAATTCGAAGGATAAAAAGGAATTCTGGGACGTGACGAGCACCACACTGGTTTGCGGTCCGCGGGAGAAATACACCAAACTCGAACTATAACAGAAATAAAAGTCCTACGTGAGAGGTCAGAGGCCGGAGTCAGACGTGAGAGGCAGGCCCGAGATGGGAATAACAGGAGCTCCAGGAAGAACAGAAGGCCCAGCGGGGGAGAGCGGATAGCTACGCAGACTCCAGATGGTGGGCGGTGAAGACGCTGGTGCGGCCGCCTCGGCAGCCCCTCATCCCACGGCCGCTGTCTGCGGACCAGACCCGGGAAGCATCCCCGAGAGGCGGATCCCAAAGGGTTGGATGGAGAAGGAAGCCGGGTGGCTCTGGGGTGCTGTTCTCCCCGCAGCCCCCTCCCTCCCTCCGCCTCCACCCTTAGCCCAGCAGGGCTCAACAGACACATCTGTCCCTCAGCAGAGCAGGCCCGGAGCTGCCCTTACCCAAGAGGGACAGAGAGCTGGGTGGACGCTGGCGTCAGCCTGCACCCGGCCGCATCGCCTAAGCACGCAGGGAGCTGTTAGACCAGGGAAAGGCAAGGGCCGCATCCGAGATGGAGTCGGAGAGACCTCAGCAGGGGCTGCCTGGTGAGTTCAGGGCTCTGCCGGTGCTGAGAACTCCCTCGTGGGGCAAGCACTGAATAGCAGTGAAATCAAGAATTTCTAACTATCTTCGAGACATCCGGGGGTTGTGGGAGGGCAGTGTGGGAAAGGGGATGCATGGGAATGTCCATTGTAAGGGCACTGTTTGGGTCAGGTTCTGAAGGGCTTCTTGCAATTGAGGTAGACGAAAAAAGCGTCTCGATGGGGCTGTACGTCACTTGTAACTGTGCTGTTACTGGGTTAATGATGACCACTATGAACAGTGAGGTTAACAGCGGGTGCAGAGGCATCTCAGAGCATTTAGGTTAACAAGGCAGGGGCAGAACCGGTGAAAACAGAATGAAGAGGCTCTTGAGCCAGCAAAAGGAAGGGAAGGAAAAACATACAAGAGAAGACAGACAAGCTATAAGAAATCAGTATGGTAGAAGGAGCCGAACTATTTTCCTTCTTCTAGGACAGCTGAGAAAAGGTAAAATCCCTAGGAGGGAAACAGAAGACAGTTTTGGGTTCTTTTGCATTGTCCTACAATTGGTGCTGTGACCGTGAATTTTCTGTTCCTCCTGTTAATCCTATGGATTTATGGTGCATTCACTTAAGTCTGTGTTATTAGTCACATTTATCTTTATGCTTTTTATGACTTCTTGATGGATGGACTCTTACGTTTCTCACGTCTCCTTGTCTCTGCTAACCCTCTTTGTCTTTATATCCGTATTATATATTTGCGAAGTCATTCCAGATTTTCTGATGATAACTGTTTCATGGTATACCTTTTTTCTGTCCACTTAGTTTCAGCCTATCTATGTCTTTATTTTTATAGTGTGTCCTTTGGAAACAGCATAGGATGGACTTTTGCATTTTATTCATTTTGACAGTCTCTTTCTTGCCCTTTCTCCTTTTTCTGCTTCGTTTCCTTTTCATCCTCCCTCGGCTCCTCTCCCTCCCCCTCCCCCCTTCCCGCTTCCTTCGTTTTCTTTTTTGTGGTACTGAGGATTGAATCCAGGGGCTTCACAGTGAGTTACACCTCCAGCCCTTTTTATTTATTATTTTGAAGCAGGGTCTCATTAAATTGGTAAGTTGCCCATGCTGGGCTTGAACTTGCAACCTTCCTGCTTCAGCCTCACAGGGTGTTGGCAATACAGGTGTGTGCTACTGCATCTGGCTTGACAATCTGTCTCACCAGTTGAAGTATTTAGTCCATTAGCACAGAAGTAGACATTAATACAGTTGTGCTTAGACTTGTTTTGTAGTACAGGTCCACTGGCCATGAGCTCTTAGTTTCCTTTTGGCTGGTGTCTTTATTTCACATTCATTCAAAGAATTCTTACTCAACTTTTTCTTCTTTTAGTACCTTCAGATGCGGTTTTCCCCCTCTGTCCCCTTGTCTCCATAGCTGCTGATGAGATGTGAGAATCCTCCGAATCCTTGTTTGTGTCATGTTTCTTTCGCTCCTTGTAAAACTTCCTGTTTTTACTTGGTTTGTTATAAGCTGCCTACGCGGGGTGTTGTCTGTTCTTATCCTTACTGGGGTCTGTGGAGAGCCTTGAATCTGTGACTAGTAGGAAATTTTCGCTTATTATATTTTCAAGTATTTGCATCTCACTTCCCTTTGCCCTCACTTCCTCTTCTGTAATTCTAATTCTATATGATAAACATTTTATTAATAGTCTGCATTTCCCCGAGGACTTAAAACTTTTTTAGTCTTATTTCTGTCTGGTCTTCAATTTGGATAATTTCTACTGATTTACCTCTAAGTTTATTAATTTTTTCCTCTTTCATCTTCATTCTGCATCCAGTCTAGTAAAATTTTCAAGTATTGTCATTTTTATAGTTTCTGTTTCTCTACTGAGATCTGCAATTATTTCATTCACTGCAAACATATTTCCTTTATATTTCTGAGCATAGTTATAATAGCTGCTTTAAAATCCCTGTCTGCTAATTCCAACATGTTGGGTGCATTCTGGATTGGTCTTCATGGGTTGTTCTTTTCTCTTGAGGATGAGTAACATTTTCTGGGCTTTTTGTATGTCAAGTATTTTGTTTTTGTTTTTTTGTTTTTGTGAGACAGGGTCTCACTATGTAGTTGAGACTGACCTGGAACTCACTGTGTAGTCCAGGCTGGTCTCAAACTCACAGCGATCTTCCTGCCTCAGCCTCCCGAGTGCTGGGATTACACACATGTGCCACCACGCCCAGCTTTGTCAGGTATTTTGGATCGTGCCTTGGACATAGTGCATCTGGTATGTATTTTGTTACATTCCTCTGAGGAATATTGGCTTTTTGTTATTTCAGCAGGCATTTGCTTTCTTGGATTCAAATGGCAGCTCTGTGTTTCCAGTAACAGTTCAAATCTGTTGACTTCATTTCTTTTTAAATTTATTCCTGAATTTTTACCTGTATGTCTTTGTGTTATTTTTGTGGTGGTGTTTCTAGTGGCTATAATCTAAATTCTTTCTCTTTCACAGCCTAAAAATCAATACTATAGCTTGTTGTATACCATGTAGAAACACATACATATATATATGCATGGTTCCTAGAAATGTTGGCAGTTTATAAACAGTATCTGGGGACCCTTCTACCTTAGTTCACATGGGCTGGGGTTTGCCTCAAATATTTCTTTGTGATTCTTCAGTCAAAAATTCTGTTTTCTTTCCAACACGTTGGCAAACATTAAAAAGTCCTTATCTTTCTTCACTGACAGAGAGAATAAAGAAAAAGTTATTGTGATAAAGAACATGTTATTATGGGAAAACGAATTGCCCTCACCTTTTTGAAAAGAACCTAATAAAAATATCCTCACCATTTTATTCAGTGTAACATAGCTTTATTTGTAGAGGCAAAAACAATGTGAAAATTTTGAACATTCAATTGGGAAATGTTTGAATAAATTGTTATTTATTTTGCCCCCCACCCCCAGGGATTGAACTCAGGACCTTGCACTTGCGAGGCAGGTGCGGTGCCACTGATTTAAATCCCTGGCCCTAAACTGTTATTTATTATTAAGCAGATGTTATAAAGAATGACGTAGAAGCCAGGCATGGTGGTGCACGCCTATCATCTCAGCGCTTGGGAGGCTGAGGCGTGAGGATTGCCATGAGTTTGAGGCCAGCACAGTCTACTTACTGAGTTCAAGGATGGTCTGAACTGCATAGTGAGACCCCATCCCCCGCCAAAAAAGAAAGATATAGAACTGTACAAATCAACCAAGACAAATACCCACGAAATATGAAGATTAAGCATTGTTATTTCACAGTGTTCTTCTTTCAATTTCAAAAATGACAACAAAAAAAGGAAAATAACAACCAATTTTCCAATAGTCTTTAAATATTAGAATACAGTTGGTCACACATCAAAATTTTATCTATCTATCCCTCCTCCAGATTGAACCCAAGGCCTTTGTCCAGCCTGGGCCAGAGCTTGCAATTCTCCTGCCTCAGCTTCCCAGAGCGCTGGATTACAGGCCTGCGATGTGGTGCCTGACTTTCACATTTGTAATACCGCTCACCACAGAAGGGTGGCGCTGGAGCCTGTGCGTGTGGCTTCCTTTGTTCCCGTTACTCCGAAGTGCGGTTTTAGAGTTTGGGGACAACTTCCTCCATTATAGAAGCATCAGGTAGGAAAGGCAGGCCTATCCCAGACCCTGACTTGTGAGGCCACGTTTTCTGCCTTTCTGCCCTTTCTCATGTCTCCGCTGTCTGTGCGTGGTAAGGTCCGTCCCACCAGCTAAGGAGTTTTGGTGTTGATGAACCGAAGGGTGAAGACAAATATAACTCGAATAGTTACATTTGATCCTCGGGAACATTCTGAAATATTCTCAATCTCTACAATGCAGGTGACAAAGTCGCCTGAAGAAACATCTTCCCTTCCCAATGGCGATGTAGCAGGAGAAGCAGAGCGCTCTGCCGAGGTAAGGCTGGCAGCCCAAGCCACTGCCCCACGCCACCTCAGGGTGATTCCTCGGGCCTGTTTCTCTGCCTGCTGTCGGTCTGCTCTATCTGTCCGCTTGTCCATCCGTCCATCCATCTGTCCATCCGTCACGCCTACCCTCCCGCCTGCCTTATTTCTCTCTTTATACCCATCCATCTATCTGTACCCTCCACAAGCCTTAAATGGGTGACTTGAACCTCCTCACCCAGGCCGTTTGTTACTGGCGCGAGCACAGCAGTCTACGGACCGACACTGATAACCCCGCCTGTGATCCCGGGTCCGGCAAGCTTGTGCTCTGGTAACCAAGCGGCCTCATCAATAGGAGGTCTCTGCCAGCAGGAGCGGCCTGGTCTGCCCACCGAGCTTATCGAAGGTTACTGACACCCTGGGTTTCTTTCCCGACAGGGAACAGAGAAGGCCGAAGAAACCGGAGAGAAGGACGCACAGAAGGGGAGCGGTGACGACGCGGGCGACCTCCCCGAGCCCCCGGAGAAGAGCGTGAGTGTCTGCTTTGGGTGTGGTGGTTTCTTTGCTTTCGGGTCTGTTCTTCGATTACCGGGCTTCTGAGAGATGTCTGGGACAGGGCACGCTCGGGTGAGAAATTTCACAAGCAAGGAGCCTAGAGTTCCGTAGGGAGGACGCTGACACTTTTCATTCAATTGCCACCGGGAGCAAGGACTGACCAGAGCCAGAGTAGGACCCTGCTGGCCAGCCTGGGGTGATGTGTTGTCCTCCTTAGGGGTAGGTCAGGTTCGCTTCTGGGTCAAACCAAGGTCCCTAGGCCGTGATCTTGAATAAGGGCCAACTCCACGCCCCCAAGAGCCTTGCTCATGGGGAAAGAGAGCCGAGGGAGCGCAGTATATCTGAGGGCACCAGGAGGGACTTGAGGATAAGGAAGGGGGAACTGTATAAAATGCTGCAAACATCACAGTGTGTTCGTGTTCGTATCTGGCTTTTATCAAGGTGAATTGTGGCACTAGAGTAGTAAAGTTATCTGGAGTTGTATTGGTTGCCGCCCAACGGCCCTATCTGAAAATCTTTGTGCCCTTGGCTTGTCTCACCTCCTGGGCTCCCTCCAAAAGTAGTCTGCAGGGAAGTTCCCACCCTGGAGGGCCTGAGGCCCGGAGCGCTGTCCTCCTGCCCTTCCCGGGCCAGCTGACCTCTCCTCGGCCCGCCCCGCCACCCCGGCCTGACACTGACCTCCACTGACACCTGTCCTCGGGGCTGGCCACGTGTTCCTGGCCACGGCCCCCACAAAAAGAGCTGCTGTGCAAGATGTCCCTCGGCTGAGCTCTGGGCTTCTGGCTTTGTTGCAGCATTGAGGGGCGATTACTTACATTGCACAGTGAGCAGGTCACGCCTGGCCCTAAGATCTCGCGAGGCTGAGTGATCACCTCGGAGATTACAGTTGTCTACACGGAGGCGCTCGTCTGTATAATTGTCTGTCAACCATAAGAGTCAGTTCAAGGATTGCATAGAGAGGACTTTTAAGGATCTGCTGAATTCTGGTATTTTGTAATTTTGTGAGGTGAATTTGAAAGCTTGTGATTTTTTTTTTAAATTAATGTGCCCTACACCTCATTCCCGGGGTTGTTTGAGGCAAGAATTTCACTACATTTACTCAACATTTTATAAACAGACTGAGCCATACTGTGTGCTAGGCAGAATTCCAGGGCGTGGAGTTTTGTCCTGGCAGAATGAGTCATGATGACAGTCTGCAAGACACCTTCCCTACCCAAGTATCTATCAACAAACGAAGGTCAATTCAATCTGATAGAGTGTGCTAGGTCCCTCTGCAACCATTCCCAGCTGACCTATACGCGTTGAGACCCGCAGTTACCCCTTACTGCCCTCCTGGCTAGCTCTAAGGCTAACTCCATTTTTATTTTTACTTACTTATTTATTTTATTTATTTTTTTGTTACCGGGGATTGAATTTGGGACCTTGCACTTGGGAGGCAGGCGGCAGAACCACTGAGCTACATCCCCGGCCCTCCATTTTTAATAGTACCTTGTTTAAGCTGGACACGATGAACATAATTGGACTTAGAAAACGCAAAACTATTCGTAACTGATAATTCTATGCTGCGTGTGGTGCATTTCAATCTGATCTTATTAGACAAGAAGAAAATGAATATTCTTGGGCAGCTGAAGAGTTAACAGCCCTTCACACACCCAGTCGTGAACCCAGGTTTATTTAGCTCGTACCTTGGTCCCGGACTCTCAGGTCCAGGGTGGAAGAGCCATACAATGAGGGAGACACAGTCATGTAAATCCCACAGTCATGTAAATGCGCCAGGCAGTCTGGGAGACAAGAGAGTGATGGTTGTGGGAGCAGAGGAGAGGTCCCCAGCTCCATCTAACGGGTAGGAAAGCCTTCCTGGCAAACATCCCTTTGAGCAGAATCCCGGAGGAGGGTCCGTGGGAGAAAACCCCACGCGACTCAGCAAGGCTGAAATGAGTAGGGCGGGGTCCAGAGCGAGCCTGAGATGGAAGTTTGCAAACACGTGGGCAGCACAGCGAGGCTGGTTGTCTCCTGGAGCTGTCTGTCGGCTGCGGCGTGGAGAGCAGGATGGAAATGTGGGAGGAAAGGGGCGTGATGGCAGTCGCACCAGGGTTAGGCCAACCCACGCATCACCATGACGACAGAACCTGAGTTTTGTAACAGGGGCCCGGCTCTCTCCCAGGTGTTCCTTGGGCACTGACACTTGTGTCATCAGTGATGTCCAATGGGAGGTCAATTTGATGCTTCCTGGGGCTGTGTCCCCTGGGCTCCCTCAGACTTGGCCAGCCATGTAGCAGCACATTTGGGACCTTCTCTGAGATCTGAGATCCCGGAATGGCCCAGGCCTGGTGGTGCTGACCTGGGAGACATGGCAGTGCCTTGGACCCTCTACCTCTTGCCTACTGTGACTTTGCTTTTCTTGTTACTAATCTTGAGAGATAGCTGGCAGAGGAGGAGGGGAAGGGGGAGGGG